AATGGATCGTCTTGCACACCCCACTTTGGAGACCACTGGTCTAGAGGACAGGGCGGGGAGGGGTGGTACCCAGCAGCAGTGGGTATGGTGATGGCAGCGTGGAGTTGTGCCCCGCTTGCTGCTACCAAGCAAGCAGGTGTGCCTCACCATGGCAGTGTGGCTGGCACGGGGCTCCCAGCAGCAGCAGCACCGAAGGAGGCATGGGGACCACGTGCCGCCTGGATTTATGCGCAGGGTAAGGGCAGGCAGCCAGCTGCAGGGTCAGGGGCTGCGCTGGCCTCTTCCCAGTGGCGGTGGGGCAGGCAGCAGCAGTGCTGGGGGGGCACTACAGGGTGGCCATGGCAAATTTTGGGATAGCTGTACCTCACACTGTATCCCCACCCCAGTGCTGCCACCGCCCGCCCCACCCCCACTCACCCTGAGCACAGCCCTGGCCCAGCTGCCCCACTGGGAACAGGCTGGAACAGGCCCTGGCTCCAAGCCTGCAGCAGGCAGCCCGCCCTCACCCAGTGCACAAAACCGGGGGGAACATGCCCCCCTATGTCTCCCCTGGAGTGCATGCAGTGGTGGGGGTCATCCCCTCCCCACCCCATCCCACTGGACAAAACACCTGTATCTCCATCCCACACCCTCCCTGCCTGGGCAGCACCTGCCTCTGCCCCAGCCCCACTCCCTCCTTCACTGTGGTGGCCTTGATCTGCCCTACCCCCAACTTACCAGCTGGTTGCTGCTCTCCAAGCTGCCAGGCTGCATACTGGATCAATATCAGCCAACATGGTTGGTTAAGAATTAGCCATTGGTATCGGTCCAAAAAAAAAATCTTTATATCGGTGCACCCCCAGATTTTAAGCCTTCCCAGAAGCATTGGGTATTGCCTACAGCTAAGGCTGGGGACTTCAACTAGGGTGTGCCAATGCTCCTGCTAGAAGAAGCATAGAGGGTCCGGCTAGAGGGCCTTGCCCCTCTGCTCTGGGTCAGACCGATTGCTATATTTGGGGTCAGGAAGGAATGTTTTTGCCTTCCTCTACCCAGGACCTCTTGAGAGTATATTGACATTTTACAGAACATTGTTTTAAACAACAAGAGTGACAGGGACAAGGAAAGAAATAAAAAAAGAAGAAACTCTGCTATTACAACCATACTCTTAAGTGTTATTTGTTACTATCCATCTGCAAATTTTGTAAATATAGCCTCTGTTGCTCCAACTCAATGAAAATATCAACTAGAAAACAGTTCAGGACAGACCCCTGTAAACTTGAAATTGGAAGGCTGTTTCGCAGTGAATTGTTGTTAACTACTCTTTGAAACTTTAAGCCAATTGTTCATTCATCTTCTGGCAAATATGTCTAGACTGTATTTTCCTAGTTTACTTATGCTGACTCCATAAGCATTAGTATAGTACTATACATCAAGTTCGTCTTCTAATTCAATAGGCCATTTATCCTGTCAAGGAAGGTAGTTAAATGACTCTGTATATATTTTACATCAACCACAAACAACGTGAGTTACTCAAGTTTGTAATGTGATAGGTTTCCTTATTAGTATCCGTGATTTATTTTGTTATATGTCTATATTGCAACACACAACTTCTACCTTTCAGTGTACCTCAGGTTTTTCTAACTTACTTTAGAGGTGTTTTTTCCTTCAAAGTATCCATGCTTGAGAGCTCATTCTCAACTGTAAGCTTTAAACTGTAAATAACCTGAAATTAGAAAGTGCATTTTTAGCTTCTATTGCATCATCACACGTTCAAGATCTTTTAGAAGCCATCTGATTCTCCTCAACCAGAATTGTAAAGTAGGGCAATTTATAAAATGTTTGCAACTGTGACTTAGTCTAGCAGGAGGGAACTGTATAGGACAGGGGTGTCAAACATGTGGCTCACAGGCCAAATTTGGCCCCCAAATCCCCATTATCCAGCCCCCGGTGCTTTCCCTAGGTTGCATGGACCTAGACCGACCCTATGGATAGGGCCTGGGATGTGCACATGCATGAACACCTGTTCCAGCAGCACCAGGAACTGTGCCACACATGGAGCCCATAGGCACTACGTGTAGCACAAGTCCCAGACTGGCTAGAGCAGGTGCCTCATGCAGTGTGGCAGACTAGCTGTGAGTGCTGTTAATGGGGTGGGGTGAGGGGGGTGAAGAGTCAGGGGGAGAAGGTAACCTGTGTTAGGTTGGGTCAACCCATGCCAATCTAAAATTTAATTCTTATCAGATGAAAACTAACTTTAGATTGGTAGTACCATTTTTAGAGTGACTTAAGCCTCGTGAATGCTTGCACACCCAGCCACTTAGATTGTCTAAAGCTTGGTTAGGGTGCCTAATACTTGTACGCAACCTCAGAATACAACCATACAGAGATACTACTAGCCTATCGTGCAACCCCATACCCACTCACCCTCACTTTCTAGCTGTTAGTATAACGGTGCTCAACCTTCTGGCCCTATTGGCAGGATGAGTGATATGGGGCCAGCATCTGGGCTGGTTCCTGTGGCTGGAGTTGGTATGTGGGCTGACTCCATGCTGGATCCAATGTGGGACAGTGTCATCTGGCTTGCGGGGCTCCCCACAGGTGTGGCCCCATGAGCTAGATTTTGCCTGTGGGCTGGAGGTTGAGCACCACTGGTTTAGTATAGCCATTTCTAATGTTTTACTATGTTTGGATGTTCTGGATCTTCTTTACTGGAGGTTTCCAAGAACAGGTTAGACAAACAGGGTCTAAACATATTTCATCCTGCCTCAATGAGGAGGCTTCAACTAGATCTCAGGGTTCCTTTTCAAAATTCAATGATTTTAAATAATTTATTGTAAAACATCTCAATCTTTAGACACTGGTGATCTGGAAAGCATTTGAGTAGATTAATCAGAACAATGTTACAGTGGCTGAGTTCAGCTACCTGATTCAAATCGCAACAAGTTCTGAGTGAAGGTGTAGTTTTTAACTCCTCTGCTATCTTCATCACTCCAATCAAGTTGTTTTTCTTTTCTTCAATGTGCTGCTTAACCTTCAAGACATCAGATACATAATTGCCTGTATTCTTCTCTAATTCTGCATGCAAGTGCTTTTTCCTAGAAATATATCAATTATCCAGATTATTATTCAGAATTCAACAGATAATGCAACAGTACAGAACAACTAAAACTAACCCCCACCCTCAAAACCACAACATTTTAATAGAACCATGCCACAGCTAGGTATTTGTGAAGAAAGGCTGAAAGAACTAAGATGTTTTGGTCTGGAAAAGATAAGATTGAGGGAGGAATTTGATAACTTGATTAAAAATACCTGAAGGGCAGTTATAAAGAGAAAGAACGTAGACAATTCTCTGGGGCCACAGGGGACAGGACCAGATGGCCTCAAACTGCAGCTAATGAGATGACCTAGACTGAGACCATCTAAGTCCTGTCTAACTAGAACAAATGGCCTCAAACTGCAGCAGGGGAAATTTAGGTTGGAGAGTAGGAAGAACTTTCTAACTAGGGTGGCCAAGCACCAGAACAGACTACCTAGAGAAACTGTGGAATCACTATCCCTGGAAATTTCAAAAGCAGTTTGGATAGACACTTGGCTGGGATGGTCAAGTGAGAGTTTCCTTGAGCAGGAGGCTGGACTAGATGACCTCCTTGAGGTCCCTTGCAGCCCTACTTTCATTCCCAAGCACCAGTTCTCCCTCCCCTTTTAAAGCAGGTAAAAATATTTGTTTTCTGGATATGGACAAACATACTTTTGTTACAGACAGTGCGGTTACTGGTCCATGCCTTTTCTTAGGTTTTTAAAATTCTTTCAATTTTCAAAATTCAAGTCCCACATACTTAAATATAGGACTGAAAATTGAGATACAACTTTAAAATTTACTGTATTTACTCACATACCACATGCACCTTTCCCCAAAAATATTTCTCCAAATTAGGGCATGTGTCAAGCAGGAAAACTAATTTTCTCCACCTACCAAACTCAGGGAGGGAAGGGAGGGAGTTCACCCTTCAAAGTCAAAGTCAGAGCTACAATGTTAACCCTTACAGAGCCATTGCCAAATTAGCAGTTTTTGACTGAGCTGCTGCTAGTTCACCAATGACTGAGGGTTAACACCTTAGTTTTGCTAGAGCAGCACTGGCCAGGATTTAGCCATGATGTGACCCCTGCAGTCACAATTCAGCTATGACTGGAAAAAGCTTTTTCTCTTTATTCTGCTGTCCTAAATAACATATGCATCTTATCTGAGGTCATGTGGTATACAAGAAAGTGTGGTAGTAAGATTCTTCTGCTATTTTTTTGAAAGACTCCTTCAGCAAAAAAACCCCCCACAAGACCATTCAAGTATAAAAAAAAAAATACAATTATTAAAAGGTTAAAAGAAAAGCCTGCTGAGGTCATCACTGTTTTTGGTTTTATTTACTGGAGTTATTTACTGTCAGCTGAAGATTTCAGACTAGGGGCTTTCCTTCTTGTACTGTTTTAACAGAAAAAATAGAAATACCTGAAATTTAATCTTAGAAAAATAACAAGTAGACATAAATAAAATGAATAACTTCCCTCTTAGCAGTGAAAATACATTTTGAAGTTCTGTTCATAGTACAACCAAAATAAAGTTACTAAGGATCTAAAATATTAAGGAAGAAGTGAAGCCAGTTAAATGATTTTTAAGTCTTTGTCCAGAAAACAAAAACACAGAGCATTACCTTGATTGAAGGGAAGCAATTAGATTACTAAACTCTTTATCCACAATTTCTGCAATCTTGCCTTCATCCTTCTTTGCCTTGGATTCCAAATATTCCAGTATCTATTTCATTTAAAACACTAATAAATAAATGTATATTAACTTATTTACACAAAATAAGCAGCATTTATTTTAAAAATGTCACAAAACCAATGATTAGAAACACAATGACAAACATTGCAGAAGCAGTGACATGTGCCATACTATAAAAAATGTGATCAAATCTAGTAGCACTGTGAAGATCCTGAACAAACATGGAACATGTAGGACTAGTAATCAAACGTCAAGAAAACAAACTGAAAAAAAATCAGTGTAGAGACAGCAAAACCAACTGTTTGTAACATCTTTTAGAAGACGTAGACAAATTTGAGTATCTGAAATCCAAAACAAAAAAAAACAACCCAGAAAAACATGGGGAGGAGACTAAGATAGCCAGAATTATATACTAGTGGCAAGATCTGCACTTAGGCAGCTGAACAGAATAGTTATTGAACAGAAATATAGAAATCAAGACTACTACATGGTAGTATAGTGATGTGCGAAAGTTGACCTACAAAGTCTTTGGAAGGAGGTAGAATATTTTATATATTGAAACCTGCAAGTTTTCTGACCAAAACAGACAAAGACAGACAGAAGAAAGAATCAAGCAAAGAACAGCATAATGTAATTCAAAGGAAGTGGACAGGTCACAGGCTAAGAATGGGAGATGAAAAAATACCTAAAACTGGTGATATTTCAGACACCAACTGAGAAAGGACAAAGACCCAGAGACACATGAAAGAAGACTGTAGAGAAAGAAAGGAAGGAACCTGAAACAGGATGGTAAAATCAAGAAGAGCAGCTGGCAGAGGGTGGAGAAGCTTCTGTGTAGGTTGTATGTGCTACACAGGAACATACTTGAGTATACTCAGATAGCATCAGCCTGTAATGTTGACCCAGCTTATCTGTTTAAAATACCTTATTCACTTCGTGTGGGATTAGTTGTTTCAGCACAAAGTACCTTTATTCTGATATAACTGCATTCACCTTGGCAGTGGAGCAGGGACGCATCACTGCATATATCTGTAGAAGTGTTAAAGTTAGCATGCTGCACAGAATGAAATAGAGAACTAGAGGACACCCTCTTATTGGACACCAGACTTTAGTATGTATATGCACACACGCGCATGAATTTGAAGAAAAAAAATTATATATACACAGAGCAAATTTGAAGATATATATATATATTTTTTTTTTTCCTTCAAATTTTGCAGTTAACACTATTTTGTTGACTGTGCTTTTGGCTTACCTACAGGAAAAGTTTTCAAACTCTGTTCTTTTCTTGGGCTAGGTAGTTGGTGTAGAATATTCCCTCGCAACTTTATCGTCATATCCAAGTATGGTCTTGCTGCAAATGCTTGATGACATTTCATACCATGCAGTTAAGAAGAACTACACTAAAACTGAATGCCAGATACATTTATTCATATCATAAAGTAAACCAGGGGTAGGCAACATTTTTTGGCTGGAGTGCTGAAAAACACCATAATGCCTACCTCAGAATGTGCCGGAGTGCCAGCATGGCAGAAAAACAAAATGAGGGCAAGGGGTACATGGCAGGATGCCCTGCTTTAGGCCCTTGCCCCCCACCCAAAGCCTCTGCCCCTCAGCCCTACTGCCCCTTGCTCCCCACCTAAAGCCCTTGCCTCCCCCCCCACCCAAAGCTGGGACACTGCAAGCCCTGCTCAGAGCAGCCCAGGCTCTGTCACTGGCAGCTGCTTCCTGGAGCCAGGGCTGGCCACGGCATGCCAAGCAAAATGGCCTTGCGTACCACGCTCGGCACACATGCCAGGGGTTGCCAACCCCTGAAGTAAACCATTGTCCTCTTGGCACAATGTAGAGCAAGCATACCAAATTGAGGTCTTTTAACAATTTTTCAACAGCGATTTAATAGTTGAGCACTGCTGGAGAGATGTCATGTTACTAAAAACTCCTTCAAAATCAGAGAATTTGGAGAATAATACAGTACTGGTTTCAGAGATAAAGGTACAACAAAGGTTCATATTCTGTACTAAAATCTGGCTCCCAAAAATAGGGTGTCCTTTGTAACTCTCTTGCATTGTCTGCAGCATACTAACTTTAACACTTCTACAAATATATTCAGTGATGGAACCCTGCCAAGGTGAATGCAGTTATAACAAAATAAAGGTACTTTGTGCTGAAATAACTATTCCACACACAAAGTGAATAAGGCATTTTCAAAAGATCAGCTGGGTCCACATTACAGGTTGATGTTGTTATCTGAGTATACTCATTTATGTTCCTGTGTAGCACGTAAGCTAACAGAATAGTTCACAGAATATTCCAACAAATGGTATTTATATAAGTTTAAACTTGAATTACAAAAAAGGAAATGCAAGAACAAAGATACACTGATTGTGTAATCTGCATTTTGTGTTTTTTATTTAGATAAATAGTGCCCATAATACTCATGGAGAATACTACTTAGAGAACCTTCAAATTTAGGAGGCACAAATCAACAATGCTAACTACTGAGTTGCTAGTGAGAAGTGATGTTGAATTTTACTGTTATCCAGCAAAACCCGAAATGAGCTCAGTTGTTTACACATGTAACAATCCTTCAGAAGTCAAAGAGCAGGAAAGAACTTAGAAGGGATGAGAACAAGACAAACAACAGCAGTTCAGGCATTAAACAGAAATCTTTCTGTAAAAACCATACTAAGTAATCTGATTTCACTCATCAGAGCAGAACTGGAATTAAATGTAGTTTGAAATGTTTCATAAAGTGAATCAATCTCTTTTCACTCACCTTCTCTGCAGTATTTAACTGTTCAAGATTACAACCAGCCAGCAGCAAAGCTTCATCAATATCTTGTACGGTTATACTGTCCTGTGGAAAGAGCTGCCACAGAACTTTAAGTTTCTGCAGTATTCAAGTAAGTTTAAGTGCCTGACTACCTTTTCAAGTTATAAGATCTTTAAACAAGAAACCTGTATACAGCACATTTGCCATATACTTGCATACAATAAATGACAGTTATTAAAAGCTTACTGTATACTATAACCTCCTGCAAAGAAATGATTGCCTTACTAACTGCAGTTATTAGCGATGGTTCCATGTGTGGCATCTCTGTCTTTAGAAGACACCTTCCAATATGTGAATTCAAGAACTTGCAGCCCAGCAGCATTCACTACAGCCACGCACACATTCAGAGGTTTAGGGATGTAGCTTAACAAGGTTCAACTGTTGTGCACTTAATGCAGGACCAACATTCTGAAGAAACTGGGAAGATGCCTTATATTATGCCTTCACTATAATGAAACTTCAATTTGCAATATTACACAAATAAAATATTGCCTTATGTATCCTTAAACAAAATATAGTGCATCTAAAATCAGTAGATGATTTGAGGCTTGTTCTTTTGTGGAAATGGGGACCAAATCCTGGTGTGACTACATGGACTGGATTGCAAAACTGAGCTCATGCAGTGAAGATGTTCAACCCATTCCATTCCTGAGGCATCTGTGGACTTTTTGCGAGTGTGGGTAGAAAATACAAGAATGTTCACAGACACTAGAACATAGTATAGTCCTCCAGTTTTGGGCCCCACATTTTAAGAAGAATGGTGGAGTCATTCACAGACTAATACCTAACTTCTTAAAATGTGGGGCCCAAAACTGGATGCACTAACTCAGCTGAGGTTCAACCAGCCCTGAGAAGAACACCGTTTATCACCTGCCAGGTCTTATATACAAATAGAAACTGTATTTGCTTTTGGTGGCTCACGTTGAGTTTGATTCACCACAAGGCTTCAGCCACAGCCCTTCCAACTCCAAAAGGTCCCTCAAAGTCTTTAGAAGAATGGTGGAGTCATTCACAAAAGGTCCAGGAAAATGTTGACCAAAAAAACCCAAGAATGAAACCCAAATTCGAATGGCCTAAAATGCTACCATGATAGCAACAAAGGTACCAAGAACTCTCATTAAGTGTGGCATCTATGATGAGAATGAGTTTCTTAGATGGCTTCTCTTTGTTTTGGATTGGTTCTTGAGCAGGTCTAGGCAAGACAGGCTTCTGTCATGAGCCAATAAAGATAAAGACAAAGACAAGTAGAACTCCATGAGAGATATGGATCTAGGAGTTTTCAGCAGAAGAAGATCCAGACACCAGTCTCTGTGAAATAGATATTGGTACTTCTAATTATATATTGCAACGATTCTAGTATCAGAATAACCCAGACCCTGTAGACATTAAAGAAATAGCCAAGAGGAGACTCCCATTCAGAAGAGATCCACAGAAAATCTTTTGACATCTTAAAAGCACCTTCTTTAGAGAGGAACTGGTACCATGTCATAGAATCATAGAAAATTCAAGGTGGAAAGGACCTCAGGAAATCATCTAGTCTATTGGTTTTCAACCCACTGCCCACATGTGACCCAATCAGCCCACTGGTGAGGCCCATGTGACATCCTGTTAAATGGATACACAAAATAAGTTGTGTGGGTCAGCTCTCAGTGTGTCATGTGTGCCCACATGACATACTTAGAGCTGCAAGTGTAGCCCACTGTGGCAAATAGGTTGAGAACCACTGATCCAGTTCAACCCCCTACTCAAAGCAGGATCAAAAGCAGGACCATCCCCAACCAGATCATCCCAGCCAAGGCTTTGTCTAGTCAGGGCTAAAAAGCCTCCGAGGATGGAGATTCCACCACCTTTTTGGCCAGCCTGTTCCAGGGCTTTACCCTGGAACCTTCCTAGTGGCAAAGTTTTTCCTAATATCTAACCTAAACTTTTCTTGCTGCAACTCAAGACCATTGTTTCTTGTTCTATTATCTGCCACCACCAAAAACAGCCTACATCTATCTACTTTGGAACCTCCGTTCAAGTAGTTGAAGGCTGCTATTAAACCCTTCCTCAGTCATGTCTTTTACAGACTATATAAGCCCAAATCCCTCAGCTTCTCCTCAGAAGTCATGTGCCCCAGCCCCCTAACCATTGTCACTGCCCTCTCTTGGACTCTCTCCAATTTGTGCACATCCTTTCTATAATGGGGGCCCCAGAAATGGACACAGGACTCCAGATGTGGCCTCAACAGTACCATATGAAAAGGAATAATCACTTCACTTGATCTGCTGGCAATGCTCCTACTAATGCAGCCCAGTATGGCTGTTAGTCTCCTTCACAAAAAGGGCACACTCACTGTTGGCTCATGTTCAACTTATTGTCCACTGTAACCCCAAGTCTTTTTCTGCAGACCTGTTGCTTAGCCAGTCAGCCTCTAGCCTGTATCAGTGCATGGGACTGTTCCATCCTAAGTTCAGGGCTTTGCACGTGTTGTTGTTGAACCTCATGCAATTTATTTTGTTCCAATTCTCCAGTTTGTCTAGGGCTCTCCAAATCCTACTCCTATCTTCCAATGTATTTACTATTCGCCGCAGCTTGATGTCATCTGCAAACTTGCTGAGGGTGCGCTCCATTCCAGGCTGCTGCTGAAGATATTGAACAAAACCAGCCCTTGAGGCATTCCACGTGATAGCAGTTGCAAGCTAGACATCGAGCTATTGATTACTAACTTTAAGCCCAATGGTTGAGCCACTTTTCTATCCACCTTACAGTCCATTCATCCAGCCTGTACTTCTTTAGCCTGCCTGAATGTTGTGGGAGACCATATCAAAAGCAATCAGGCTTGTCAGGCACGACTTGCCATTGGTGAATCTCTGCTCACTGTTCCTAATCACCTTCTCCTTCAAGTGTTTAGAAATGGATTCCTTGAGGACCTGCTTCATGATTTTTTCAGGGTCTAAGTTGAGGCTGACCTGTCTGTAGTTCCCTGGATCCTCCTTCTTCCCTTTCTTAAAGATGGGCACTATATTTGCCTTTCCCAATCGGAGACCTGCTCAGATCACCACAAGTTTTCAAAGATAATGGCCAGTGGCTCTGCAATCACATCAGCCAATTCCCTCAGTGTGTCCATCGCATCTGGGCCCATGGATTTGTACACAACCAGCTTTCCTAAATAGCCCATAATCTGTTGTTTTGCCACTGTTTTCTGCTCACCTCCTCTCCAAACTGTGCTGCCACATGCAGTAGTCTGGGAGATGACCTTGCCTGTGAAGACCGAGGTGAAAACGGCATTGAGTACTTCAGACTTTCCCGCATCATCTGACTCTAGTCCACATTCAGAAAGGGACCCACTTTCCCTGACCTTTCTCTTGTTCCTGACACACTTGTAGAAACCTTTCTTGTAAGCCTTCACTTTCCCTTGCTAGCTGCAACTCCAGCTGTGATTTGGCTTTCTTGATTTCATCCCTGCATACCTGAGCAATACTCTTATGCTCCTCCCTAGTTGTCTGTAAAAGTTTCCACTTCTTGTAAGCTTCCTTTTTGTGTTTTAGCTCACCAAAGAGTTTCCTGCTAAGCCAAGCTGGTCTTCTGGCATACTTGCTAGTGTTTCTGTGCATTGGGATGATTAAGTCCTGCACCCTTAGTAAGGTTTCTTTAAAATACAACCAACTTTCCAGGACTCCTTGTATTTCAGAGGAGCCTCCCATGGGATCCTCCCCAAAGTCTGCTTTTCTGAAGTCCACAGTCCTTACTCTGCTGTTCTCCATCCTTCCTTTCCTCAGAATCCCAAACTCAATCATCTCATGGTCACTGCTGCCCAAGTTGCCATCCACTAGTACATTCCCCACCCATTCTTCCTTGTTTGTGAGCAGCAGGTCAGGAAGAGCATGTCTCCTAGTTGGCCTCTCCAACACCTGCACCAGGAAGTTGTCCCTACCACTCTCCAGAAAGTCCCTGGATTGCCTGTGCACTTCCATATTGCCCTCCCAGCAAGTGTCAGGGAATAACACACATCCTTATCTGTTGAAGTGGCTGTCTCAATTTTATTATGATGTACACCAAAGAATCTGGAAGACAGAATTAAGGGCACTTGATCTGAAAGACGCCAAGAAGTGATCAATTTGTCTCCAAGATTTGTGCTGCTGCACAAAAACAAGAGAAGAAGCTCTCACAGCCACTGAGGACCTACACTGCCCATCAAATATGGAACAAACTGACTTAAAGTGAGGAGTCTTAGTGAATATAGTAGCATGAAGGTGATACTGTAGCCTCTACTAGTTTAGTCTGGCTAGCATGGGTAGCAGCAGCAGTAAAAACCACTGTGGCATGTTTGTTATGCACACGTGCATATGTTTGCTATCCAAGTATGATTTCACAATCATTGAATAGCTCATACTGATCCACAGCATGGACTTGAGCATGGCCTAACAAGCTTTCATTCATTTTATTTAATTCATTCCTACCCTGAGCATCATGTGCAACTGACTGGCCTGAAGATGCTTAATGAAAAGGCTCAGTACATTCTTGAGAAACAGCTCTCAGAGCCAGAAGACTTGTTAGCTCTCACAGTTGCATTTCTGGCATTAATAAAAACTGGATTACTGATAGCACATTGAAATTACTTCGCAAACACAGAGTCTGTCTTCAAGGGTCCATAACTTGTCTTGCAGTTTTCACACAGATTAGGTTTGAAAAGCTAAAAGTTGTTTCTTCATATTCATTTGAAGTTGGTAACTCCAGTAAACATATTGAAATGTCCTCTCTGGGATAGGAGAAAATTGGTGCTTTAATCCCTCCCAAACAGATTATTTTGTTCTAGTGAGCTGCATCTCTTTATTAAAAAAATAGAATTACCTTTTTTGAAGGGATGTCATGTGGATCACAGACTTCATCTCTTTCAAGATGTCCAAGATAACTTTGTTTCAAATCTAAAAAGCAAGCACATGAAACAGTGTTCACAATTAACCAACTAGCAAGTAATTTATCAAACGGGTAGAGACCAGTAAGGTGGGTTGTTGCTCGTAAAGAAGGTATACTAGAGGTTGACATTTTGGCTCCTCTGAAATAAAATTTTTGCTGAAGACTACTGTAATTTCATAATTTTACTTTGGATGTTGTTTTTTAAAAGTTTGGAATGGGAAGTTAGCAAACAAGGAAGATTGCTTATCCATCAGACAACAAATCCATCTAAGGACAGGGTAAAGCAGGGATGGGCAATTATTTTGACTCAAGGGCCATTTAGGATCATTTGACCTCCGCCCACCCACACCTTGCCCCCTGGACCACAGCAGCTCACCAAAACTCCCTCTCTGGCCTGAGCCTGCCTAGGTTTTCCATTTAAAACTTGCAAATTCTCCAATTAAAAAAATCCCAAATTTTGGGGAGGGAGGGATCTCCATGGAGACTGTCCTGGGACCTCTGTGGGCAGGATGCACTAGGCTGGGCAGATGGAATGGGGCTGTGGGCAAGTGGGGAGTGGCATCCAGGATCGTGGGACAGTGATAGCACAGGGCCAGGGCCTAGGCAGAGCTGCGATCTATTCCCTGCATGTTCCTGTGATGGGTACTAGTTTCATAGGCAGAGATGTGTGGGAAGCATATCACAGCTCTACCAAGGCCCCACGCTGTCACCACCCCATGATCCCATGGCTGCTCGCCTGTCCCATTCTGGGACGCTGCTCCCTGCCTATCTGCAGCCCCTCCCATCTGCCTGTCTGAGCACACCCTGCCTATGGGGGTCCTGAGCCGGTCTCCATGGAGACCCCACCCTCCAGCTCCATCCAGCGCTTCTGGCAGTGGGTGTGGGGCAGACCAGCAGGAGTGCTAGGGCAGCAGGGTTAGGTTCAGTAGCAGCAGTGACACTGGCAACAGCAGTTAAAAGGAGCTGGGGCTGCCAGAAAGCTGAGCCTGGCCACTGTAACGGCCAGGCCTGCTGCAAGCCTGGGGGCACACGCTATGGCCCAGGCTGCCCCTCTTGCCTGGGTCAGGCAAGCTAAGGTACCTGCCATAGGCTGGATAAAATCCCTTGGTGGGCCAGATTTGGTCCACGGGCTGTATTTTGCCCACTCCTGTGGCAAAACAATCAGAGGAAATACAAAAAAGCAGTAAAAAACACTACACAAGGAATGTATAGCTATAATACAGAAGAAAAATCCATTCTTGCACAATGTAGCTGGATTCCTTCCATAAATTATATAATCTATTAAGTAATAATATAAAAATCTCTTTCCATTTATTTTTTTTTCCTTTTGGAAAAAATGTCCAAATTAATGAGTGCATTTTAAAATTAAGGCTAAGAAAGTAAACACAAACATTTTATAGTGACTGCATATACTTTGAAGATCAATAATGGAATGGGAAAGGTCTGTTTAGTATCTATTATTTTTATGGTAATAATCAGGAATCCATGGGGAAACACAGATTTTCCCCTTTAAAGAAGAAAAACACAGGAAACTGCAAGTTTCCTCTTGAAGGCTAGCGGTATTCCAGCCTGCAAAGAGCTGCTTGGGGCTGGGGAAACTGGGGCGGGGGAGGAGGCAACTGAAGACAGGGGGAACCACAGGCTTATGCACATGTACACACACATGGCTGGCATATAACCAGGCAGGGTGGTAGGAGCAGCTGGATATAGGTAAGTCTATGGGACAGGATGTGGAGTTGGAGGGCCAGGGTACCATCCAGGGCCTAGGGGGAGGGAGAGGAGTGTGTGTTGGGGCTGCGATGGGGTGGAAGGGCAGGAGTGAGGGGCACTGGCATGGCTGGAGGGGTTAGGGGACTGTGGATCAGGAGCGAGGGAACCAGCACGGATTGTGGGGGGTGGGCTGCAGGTTGGGAGTGAGCGACACTGGCATAGCCAGGTGCAGGGCACCAGCTTATCAGGGCTGCTCAGCACCACAAAGTAGCTGTGGGGGGGTGGAACTGCCGCAGCTGTACCCATGTCCTGGTGAGCAAAGGAGGCAGGGAGAGCTCTGATTTTCCATGATACAAAAACCAAACCAAAACAAATATATAGGTAGTTAGAATTTATTATATTATAAATGATTGAGGCACTGGTAGGCTTCCAACTTGCTTTAAAATTGTAAATATATCAATAAACCACTCATACCCATTTCATACACCTATACATAGTGGCATTTTTTTTTTCTTTAAATGAAGTCACAGAAAAACACTCATTTTGGTTGTTTTAAATCAGAGAATTTGGGATTTTGAAACAGAGAAAGCCACAATCCCTGCTAATAATAATAATAATAGTAATAAAAATCCTGACTGAACCTGTCAACAGGCTGTTGCTTTAGCAAACAGTTTGTATTATGTACAGACTGATGTTAAAATATTTGCAAAGGTAAAGAAGTAATCCTTAATTATCATTCAAAATACAACTCTAATTTGAATGTTTTATTACAGAGCATTCACTCAAAAGCCATGTTTCTGAGCTACCAAGCAGCTTTCAGAATAGTGTCATATTAACTTTCCTGTGTCTTGTTTTTATTAAATGCGTTGTCATTTTCTATTGGGTTTAATTTGGTCAAAATAAAATGTAAGTAGGATAGTACAACTAACACACTGAAAATCTAGACAAGAATGTAAATAGCAACATTCTTTCTGAAAAATACCATTTTTAGAAGTATTTTTCTGCTGTTGCCTGCCTTAACTGCCAACCTAGAACATTGCTTTCAACATACTAAGCATTCTCAAAATAGATAAAGAACTCAAACGGAAATAAGGTAAACTCAAACGACAACCCCTCTTCCAAAAATCAAAGCCTGTAACTAGCTACGCAGACTGTAGACCTTTAAGAAATGTGTATTCTCCATCAGCTTCTGTGCCATATACTCCTTTAGAAGGCCTTAGGTTGCTTATTAAAAGTAGATAAATTTAAGCTAAAGCCAAGTTAACAAAAGCCAGGAAGGGAAATGCCATCAAAATAACTCATTTATGTGGAAATGAATGTTAGGAGTAAGGTTAGGTCAGTTCTAGGGCACCAAAATCTACATTAATGGTTTAAGGCTAGTTTAACTGTAGCAGGGCTGTCCAACTGGGTAGCTTGAAGGCTGCATGCAGTCAAACCCTTCACAGTTCAAGTTACTGTGGCACCTGGGGTCTCTAGGCTCCTCTTACCTCCTCTGGCTTTTGGTTCTTGTTCTCCTCCCCTGCCCCCCACCCCCATTCCAGGGGAATGGGTCAGCAGGAGGGAACTACATGCATAGCAAGAGGGAGAGCCAAACTGCCAGCATGGGAAGAGAGGGTGCAACCACAAGACCCAGACTACTCATCCTGCATCCAGGGCCAGAAGACCCAGGCTGGTAGTGTTAAGCTAGAAGTTAGGGAGATGGGGAAGAGCTGGGCTGCATGCATTGTTTGCATGGCAAGGGAGGCAGAAGACCTGGACTGCTGAAGGACAGGGAGGGAACTGGGAGCCTGTGGCTCATGCAGTGTGCAGCCCCAGAGTCCACAGTCTACACAACACATAGCCCCCAGCTGCCCAGCAGTTGTACAGCCCTGAAAGATGTCCTAAAGCACCTTTTACCATATCTGTGCTACTTTTATTTAGCAACTTTAAGTTTTAGACTATGACAAGCAAGACAAAAAGGAAGCATTGTCCTAAGATGAGGTTAATGTCTACAGATGCATGCAAATCAGTTATTCTTAAAACACAGTCTCCAAAACTTGGGTAAGATTTCTCTAAGAGGCAGGCCACCTGTTAGGGATTTTTAAGATTTTAAACTTAAAATTCAACAGAAAGAATAATCTTGAAATCTAAAATTACCGAGTATTGGGTTACAAAGATACACATTATCTAATTATGTTCTTGTTATCTATTGGTTTGTATTGTATTATCCTTCATTTGCTTGCAATAATCACTTTAAGACCTTTAACAAAGTTTCTCTTTGCATTCACTCCATTGACAGATTTGATCTGGTTAGAACAGAGACTGCTTTAACTTCTGGAACCCCAAATTAACTCTGGAGTTCAACAATGCATCTAGGAAATATTAGACAAAACTTTTCAAACTCAAGACAAATAATTAGAATCAAGCCCTTACCTTCCAGATTCACCTCTTTGTTTAGTGAGCGACACACACAATGTTTTCTTCTGTATGATGTGGTAACGCTCTCTTGTAACGTTTGATGACATTTCCTTCAGAGGTTAAAATTTTAAGGTCAATGGGACATGACTATTTACAGTTCCTAACTCCCCCAAAATACAGCTCCCTTACTAAACATAATGTTATATAGGACAAACATTCTTTCAAGTGGAGCCAAAAGACCAACAGAAAAAGAAATCTATGGTAACAACCACATCACTAACATAGGCATTATTGTAGTTAAAGTTCAAAATAGCTGACACACGGGCTTGAAAAATACTGTACATATAATTCCGAACAACCCAGTTTAATACAGTTATTCAACCAGAAGCAGTTTACTGAATAAATCAGTTCTGCTTTTGTGATAAAAGAACCATTCTATGCTTATATGCAAATTGCATGACTGGAGAAGTGACTTGTTGACACAGTTTGCCACCATAATAAGACATCCACATGGCTGCTGCAGGAAGCGCTGGGCAGCACTGAGGTGACGAGGCCATTTTTCCCCTGCACCAAGCACACTTCTGCCCCACCAGCTCTGCTGCTGCTGCAGCTGTTCAGTGTGAGCAGGCACGGGGAGGGGCAGGGCAGGGCTGTGCATAGCTCCCTTCCAGTACTGCAGGGTTGAGGCCAGAAGCTACCTAGAAAGGTAGTCCTGCATGGAGCCACCACAGCCCCACTGCATGCCCAGGGGGTAGCAGGATGCACCACAGGCAGGCAGTGCAGAGCAGGCAAGGGGGCTGGGTCAGGGCTGGGCTTACATCCAGCTGATTGCTTCTGCTGGGCTCAGTCCAGAGGAGGTGTGGGGTGGGGCTTGGGCTGCGCTCTGTTGGCAGTGGCGGGGAGGTGCTGCATGGCACTTGGGTTCTGGGCTGTTGCAGGGTAGGGTGGGTGATCGGCTCAGGGGGTGCTCCCATGCACACAACACCTTACCCACAAACTCCACAACCACACTCTCCCCCACACACAATCACATTCCTCACAAACTCTACACTCCCACTCCCACTCCCACTCACGGGTCTCAGGGGGCAGCCACCCTCCCCCTCTACACATCCGACAAACCCCATACTCACCCACACATCCCTACAAAACACACCCCCATAAGCCCTCCATACCCACCCATATCCACACATACCCCGACATCCAACCCATACCCCACAGCCACCTACAGCTCCCCACAAACCCCATGCCCACCCACCTACCCCCTGCAATATACAAGAGGAAGTCTTCATTTTGAGCTATTATCCAATCACCTCTATCTGTACACAATGCAAAATCTTTTAAAAATAAAATGTTATTCTGAAAGTTAGATTTTTAGTATCTAATTTTTTTTCCCCTCTGGTTCCAAGATGGCAAACCCTGCTTCCCAAAAGAAACACTTCTGGGGCAAGGTCAGGGGTTTCTGGTGGCAAAGGTCAGGGGTTAGAGGGCGGGACTTCCAGTACCAAGATGGTGACCTGGGGGCAGGGTACCAGTCAAGGGGCGGAGCTACCCTTGCAGCCCTTGACAACTCACTAAAACTTGTTAAGCAGCTCTTCAGCCAAAATAACTGCCTGCCCCCAAGCTAGTGTCCCACAGCTATTTTTAAACATGTGGGGGTTTAATACACATGATGCTGAGGCAACACTAGAGTGTTATAATTAGAATGTGGAACAGGCTTGATTAATCAAGTCTGCTCTTTCACATTCTAATAGAAAGTGAACAAGCACATCTATAGGCAGACAAAGATTTGCACATACTTTATAGACTGCAATTTTCTTGTATGAAGTTCTTCACAGTCATCCATCTGGCAGAAATGCTTGTACTTAGTTACAGTGGTGATAGCCTTTCAAAAAAGAAAAAGCAACAGAAAACATGAATTTAACAATTGTTACATTGTACCAAACAACAACACACTTTACAGATCTCATAATTTTATGCACCCATAATTGAATAAAATCATGTAATCAAAGTTCAGATTAAAAAAAGTGAGTTGGCTGAAAAGACTTAATTATCAAGAGACTATTGAAGTTCTACAAAAATTTTGCCAGCATTTTGAGTTTTTAACACTAGAAGGCTGTATTTTAAGAACACGTGCACTATAACTGGGTAGACTGAACAGGATAAATGTCAAAGCCTTTAAATACAGCTACAGACCCATTTATTTCCACAGTATTTCAGATCAGCCTGGTGCATCCCTCTTCTCTGCTCTTGTGCCATGCCACTGATACCTCTCCCTCCATGGCCTTCCCTGCTGCTCTCTTGCCTCCAACACTGCTGAATGTGGCCCTTTCCCAATGCCACTGGGAACAGGAATAGATGGTACATGATGGAGGTGGCAGCAGGAGGCTTGGGCACTGTGGATGGAATCAGCAGCCTGCCACTCTAAAAGATTACCAACCTCTGGCACATGGTAATGTCTCGACTTCTCCACAAAAAAGCATAATTTTCATCAAACAAGCCCTGATGAGGAAATTCAAGCTCTTATTGACAGAAAAATGAGAGTCGTCAAAGCTTGGCAGATGTCAATTCCAAACAGAACCAAGACACTTAATCACATTGAAGCAGAGACCCAAAAGAAAATTCAAGAGCAAAAAGAACAAGTGGCAGGAGGACAAAGAAAGGAGATACAAAAGTCTACTTGGCAGCCACACTATGTATAGTTCCTTCAGCACAACCAAAGCTATCTATGGGCCAAACACACTAGGAGACGTTCCTCTGAGGTCTGAGGATGGAACAAACGCTCTTTAAAAGATAGCTCCATCAATGCACAGTAGAAGGAATACTTTCAAGAGCTTTTGAAATGAGATTTTAGTGTCAAAGATAATACCAAAGACATTCCACAACACCCCCATAAGGACTATCTTGCAGACCTACAAACTTATCAAGAAGCTTTAAAAGCTGCTGAGCAGATAATAAACAACAAAAAAGCATGTGGTCCTGATAAAATCTGTAAGCATGGTGGGAACCCCCCCCCCCCCACAACAAACCTCACCAAATACATGCCATTTTTCTGAAAATCTGGAAACATGAACAGATTCCCAGTGAGACTTAAGAGATGCTAGAATTGTAGCTATCTTCAAGAAAGGAGATAGATCAGATGGCAGCAATTACTCTGGCATTGCACTCCTGTCCATAGCTGGGGAGATCCTCACCCACATTTCTCAGAGTCACTCCCCATGCCGAGGAGATGCTACCTGAGTTCCAATATGGTTTCAGACCATCCAGAGGTATAACAGACATGATCTTTATTGGTACACAGCTGCAGAAGTGCCTTGAGCAACACAGATCTTGGCTGAGAGAGGCTTTACAGAAGATCTTGATCAGATTCAGATGCCTGCCAAAATGTTACCATCAGACTTCTTCATGACAACATGACAGCAACTGTCTTAAACAATGACTTAGAAACAGACTCCTTCACCATCAGAAGTGGAGTCAAGCAAGGATGGATGATTGCACCACCACTTTTTTCCAGACCTGTATCGCAATTATTTCATATCTCATTGGTGACAGATTTCCATCTGGAGTCAGCATCCAGTATTGCACAGATGACAATCTCTAATTTCAACCAGTTATATTCCAAATGAAAGATACCCAACACCTCCATTACTGATCTTTAGTACACTGACAATTTCATCCTCTGTGCCCATTCAGTGGAAGAGCTTCAGATTACTCTCAATTGCTTCTGTGAAATGCTTGGACTTACCGTCAACTTCACAAAAACCAAGTTCCTTTAGCATCCCACCCCAAACCAACCAGCTGCTCCTGCACATATTACAATTTAGAATGTACTTTCTGGAGAACATTAAGCACTTGCCCTACCTGTGTAGTCATATCCCCCCGACTAATAAACATACATATTCAACACAAAATAAAATTTGCCAGAGCTGCCTTTGGTCATCTCCAAAATTGTGTTTTTGATGAGCGTGACATCAGAACCCAAACCAAACTTCTCGTTTACCAGGCTGTTGTCATCATACCCTGTTATACGGCTGCAAAACCTGGACAACTTACCAGAAACACCTGAAAGCCTTGGAATGTGACCATCAGCAATGTCTGCAGAAAATCCTCCACGTCAACCAGAAGGACAGAACAATGAATGCCAGCGTTCTGGCTCAAGCAAACACCACTAGCACTGAGCCATGCTTATGTGGCACCATTGAACAGGACCTATCATAGAGATACCTGACAACCAGTGCCCAAAACAGGACCTATGCTCCCAACTCATTATTTCCCCACTCTACAGGTGGGCAAAAGAGGAGATTGAAGGTCAATCTGAAGAAATGCAATATTAACACTAATACCTGGGAGACCCGTGCACCGAATCATCCCCAATGGCAATGTGAAGTATGACAAGGCACAAACCATTTCAAGCAAACTTGCCTTGCTAGACTGGCAAAGGAGCGAGAGAGACAAAGGGAAAGAGCTGCAACTCAACCACCAGAATCCACTCCTGTCTGGAATTGTATGTCGCATCTGTGGTCAAACATGCAGCTCTGATTGGCCTCTCCAGTCATCTCCAGACTCTGACAACTTCCCTATCTACTGGAATACTTTCAACAACTTGTTGTTGTATCAAGCGACTGCCAACAATAAGTAGTACAACACACATATACAAAGAGATCAGTTACTATGGGAATCTGTTTACATAAGTAAAAGTCAAGAAATTCAGAGGTACCTATGAAACATGGAATTTGGGCAGTCTATTTCATAAGGTCATAGCACAATTGAGGAAAACTTTCAGTTTTGAAGTTGGAGTAATGCTGTAGGCATAATCCAGGAAAAATGCAAGAACCAAGGATTACCACAGGCTACAGTATATCATGAATAAATTAGTATACAAAATACTGTAGTTATTCTTTTTAGTTTGTTAGTGGGGCAATAGTAAACTTAAGATTCGGGATTTTAGCCTTAATGAAAAAAAGCTATCACATTTGAAGATTCTAAAATTCTTATATGAAAAAAATCAAATTGTGTTTGATAATATCTTTTATTGGACTGACTTTATAGTTGGATTTTTTTCCCTTAAAAGGAGAAAAACCCACAAAACCATGGTTTTCCCCTTGCAGGCTGGCAAAGTTCTAGCCTGCAAGGAGCTGCTTAGGGGCAGGAGGGTGATCAGAGGCAGGGGGCGACATGCATTTTCACACGCCTACATTGTAGGTCATGAGCATGCGGCCAGGCAGCATGGTGGAAAGCAGCTCCTTACTTGTACGTCTGTGGAAGACGGCATAGGTGATGTTTGGGAGGGTGGCAAAATCTTTGTGGGAAGGATTTTGGTGTGACTCATTGTGCAGCTCATGCCCCTAATCATGCCT